AGAGGATAGGTGGAGAGGAAACAAACAGGTCGAAGAGGCGGGGATGGAGCCAGGAAAGGTGAGTGTAGGTAGGGAGTTAGGAAGGGGATAGGTCAGTCCAGGGAGGACGGACAGGTCAAGGGGGCGGGATGAGGTTGGTCGGTAGGAGATGGAGGTGCGGCTTGAGGTGGGAGGAGGGGATAGGTGGGAGGAAGAACAGGTTAGGGAGGCAGGGACGAGCTGGACTGGTTTTGGGATGCGGTAGGGGGAGGGGAGATTTTGAAACTTGTGAAATCCACATTGATACCATTGGGCTGCAGGGTTCCCAAGCGGAATATGAGTTGCTGTTCCTGCAACCTTCGGGTGGCATCGTTGTGGCACTGCAGGAGGCCCAGGATGGACATGTCGTCTGAGGAATGGGAGGGGGAGTTGAAATGGTTCGCGACTGGGAGGTGCAGTTGTTTGTTGCGAACCGAGCGTAGGTGTTCTGCAAAGCGGTCCCCGAGTCTCCGCTTGGTTTCCCCGATGTAGAGGAAGCCACACCGGGTACAGCGGATGCAGTATACCACATTGGCAGATGTGCAGGTGAACATCTGCTTGATGTGGAAAGTCTTCTTGGGGCCTGGGATGGGGGTGAGGGAGGAGGTATGGGGGCAGGTGTAGCACTTCCTGCGGTTGCAGGGAAAAGTGCCGGGTGTGGTGGAGCTGGAGGGGAGTGTGGAGCGGACAAGGGAGTCACGGAGAGAGTTGTCCCTCCGGAAAGCAGATAAGGGTGGGGAGGGAAAGATGTCTTTGGTGGTGGGGTCGGATTGCAGATGGCGGAAGTGTCGGAGGATGATGCGTTGGATCCGGAGGTTGGTGGGGTGGTACGTGAGGACGAGGGGGATTCTTTTTTGGTTTTTATTGCGTGGACGGGGTGTGAGGGATGAGGTGCGGGAGATGTGGGAGACACGGTTGAGGGCGTTCTCGACCACCGAGGAGGGGAAGTTACGGTCCTTGAAAAACGAGGACAACTGAGATGTACGGGAGTGGAATGCCTCATCCTGGGAGCAGATGCGGCGGAGGCGAAGGAATTGGGAATAGGGGATAGCATTTTTGCAGGAAGGTGGGTGGGAGGAGGAGTATTCTAGGTAGCTGTGGGAGTCGGTGGGCTTGAAATGAATATCGGTTTCTAGGTGGTTGCCCGATATGGAGACAGAGAGGTCCAGGAAGGGGAGAGAGGTGTTAGAGATGGTCCAGGTAAACTTAAGGTTGGGGTGGAAGGTGTTAGTGAAGTGTATGAACTGTTCGAGTTCCTCGTGGGAGCACGAGGCGGCGCCGATACAGTCATCAATGTAACGGAGGAAGAGGTGGGGTTTAGGGCCGGTGTCGGTACGGAAGAGGGAAGACAAACATTTTGCAATGGTTACTGAAAGGCTAGTTTGTCTTTGTTTTAATTCTAAGGAAAGTTCACACTCAAAATATTAACCTGGCTTTTTTACAACTGCAGTGGAGTTGTGATATATTTTCAGTATTTTATGTTTTCATGAGCATCTGAATGTTAGTTAAGGTTTAATGTTAGGAAAAAGATGGTGGC